ATGTTGTAGTCAAATCTACTACTATAACTACATAAAAGTTGTAAAGTCTATTACACGAAAAAGGTTTGACTAATAAAAAAATTAGTTCCCTCTACTACTTTACGATAGTCAGTTGTGCAAGTCACGTGTTGTTTCAAATTCAACCGTATAAATTCTTTAATTCAACAATTTGGTGTTAACTATATTAAAGTAGTAAAATTTACTAGTTAAGAAAGTGTTACGTTACTTACAAAAGTAGTCCCTTTTACTACTTTCTATTTATTACTATAAAATCGTTAAATTTACTACTTATGAAATGTTGAGTAAACTATTATCTTAGTTGTTCTTACTACAGCACTGTAGTCAATTCTACAACTTACATGTTGTTAAAATTTAACTACATATATTAGTAGAATCAACTACTATTTATCAACTACATAAAAATAGTTAAACTAACTACGCAAACCGGGTTAGACTAACTAAAAAAGTAGTTGTTTTTACTACTTTTCACTTAACTACCCAAAGGTAGTTGAATTTGTTAGCCTAATTTTTTTCAGTGTACTTTTAAATATGTTAAATAATAAGTTCCTGTAAAAACTGTAAATCTACATAAATTTTTTTTACAGTGCAGTGTAATGACAAAAGTGAGGTTATGTTACATTCTCTTAAAAATTCTCAGAGAATTTAATCGTCGGTTATATTCTAGATAATATAAACAAAATAACAACAAAGGGGTCGTCCATATATTACGTAACGCTTTTTGGGGGGAGGGGGGGTCAAGCTATTTGTTACGATAAGCAAAAAAATGGCGCTAATGTATGTAACAGTGTGTTACATAATAATAGTGTTACGTAATATATGGACGGCCCAAAAATAATGCTTGTTCTAGGTAATATTCTCTCGGTAATATAACAGACTTAGAAGACTAATTTGATTTGCATGATTCAAAGTAAATTACATTTCTGTATATATTCAAGCAGCACATAAAAATATATCAACATTACTACAATATAACATTGGATATTCATAATATTATCTGTATAATATTACTATCTTTTAAAAATGTCCGTTACAAGGTAATATACATTTATATTCACTGAATATAAATAAAATATTAATTTTCTATTAAAAATACTGCATTTTTTTATAAACGTCAAAAAATTCTCTAAAGTTTCAGTATTTTAAAAACTCATAAGGTTTAGGTATGTAAGCACCTTTACAATTTTTTGCTTGTTGACACATCCTGTTGAATGCGTGCGCACCACTTCTCCTTCTCATCAGCTGAGATTCTCAACTCTGAGAAAGTGAGATGTTTGAACGCATTTAACATGGCGTGTAAACGTGCAAACATACAAATTTGTAATGTTCACACTAAAAATGATTTAATATATATGGTATACAGAAAAAAGTAAGTGTTAAATATCTTGTGTGTTATTTCAAGCTCGTGTTGTAACTTGTGGTGTTATTTTATTAATACTATAGTGTTGTAGTTGAAATATTCTATAGAGCAAATTATATTTGTTTTTTTAAAAGAAAAATGTCTTTAATAAAGTTATATAGTACTTTAGTGAAAAATATGCTATTTGTTTACAATAAAATAACACCAATAAAGGAAATTCCTAAAATTACACCAATTGTTATACTAAAATAACATTACTTTTTTCTGTGTATATTTTCTTTACAAAAATTTCATTACAGGATTCTAGAGAAACCACATTTTAATTACGCATAAAAATATATTCTATAAAATAATTGTTGCAAACAATTATTTTATACTATTATTATTATTCTTATCCAAAAATACATTAAATATTAAATAAAAAAAAAATTTTTAATATGGATACAGCGCTGTTTCCAGCGCTGGATCCAGCGTACGTTCTGGTCCCAAATTCCAGTGTTAGTCCCAGCGTAGGATCCAGTGTTAAATCCAGCGCTGGAATCTACGCTGGTTTCGTCGTTCTTTCCACCGTTTGAATAAACGTTGGATACAACTATGGAACCAACGCTGATTTTTTTGATAGGGTCGAATCTGTCTATCACGATTCGTGGGAGCTCATAACCACGTCTGTCTGTGACCAGCAGTGCCTCGGTCTTTTCCAGGGCCATTTCAAGACCTCTGGTATCCAGCCAGCTTTTTGCTAGTCGCAGACATTCGTTCACCAATGTCCCAAGAGCCTCCTCACTTTTGGCAGTGCACACGAACAACGCGTCGTCCGCAAAGCCGATGATCACCGCACCTTCGGGTAGATCCATTCACAGAAAATCATCATAAGATACATTCCATACAAATGGACCCACCCTCGAGCCTTGAGGAGCCCCACGCTGCATCTCTTCCCTGAGAGTGCAGGTGTCTTCCTCATATATAACCCACCTGTCGCTAAGATAATTATCTATTATTTGCAACAAGTAGGGCGGCATGTTTTTCTTTTCCATCGACTCGATGAGATCTTTCCATCTTGCGGAATTAAACGCGTTGCGTATGTCAATTGCTACCAACGCACAGAAGCTCTTCTTTTTTCCGGGTCCGAACTTGTTTTTTCCTGCTTTGGCTATGTCCACAACTGCCTGGATGGCATCAACTGTGGACTTGCCTTTACGGAAACCAAATTGGTGATCCGATACGCACATAGCACAATAGTATGAGGTAAGGTTATGTTGAATACTAATCGTAAGGGTGGAGTCCCATGGCAGCGTTTTGCGTTGCGTCGTAATGGGAGAGAAAAAGACGCAAATATACGTTTGCTGCATTCTCTTTCATTACAACGCAACGCAAAACGCTGCCATGGGACTGCGGCCTAAGGCTCATAAGGTTACTCGATATTGCTGTGGTAGACCTGAGGTGAGCTAAACACTTCCGCCATGGAGGTATGTAAGGTTACATGTTAGAGTGTGGTAAGTATATATGATAAGGCTATGGTAACCTTAACGTGTAAGGTTATCTCAACCTTAACGTGTAAGGTTACCATAGCCTTATCATATATACTTACCACACTCTAACATGTAACCTTACCTCCATGGCGGAAGTTTTTAGTTCACCTCAGGTCTACCACAGCAATATCGTGTAACCTTATGAGCCTTACGATTAGTACTCAACATAACCTTACCTCATACTATTGTGCTATGTGGGTAGACTATTCTCTCCGGTCAAGTGGCTTTGCATTCTCTGCAGAACCATATCCTCTAGAAGTTTACCCATCGTATCCAACAGGCATATAGCATAGGCCTGTACGATGAAACCTTATCTAGAGGTTTTTCACTTTTCCTTAGGAGGACTAAACTCTGTCGCTTCTAGTCGCGGAAGAACTCTCCTCTCTCAAGGCAAAGATTGAAGCATCGAAGCAGAATCTGGGGTGAAGTGTCGATTACCAACTTTCGGATCTCGTTACTTATCCCATCGATTCCAAGCGCCTTGCCTGTTTTCAATCTTTTGCCTGCTTGTTGTAGTTCACTAAGTGTGAAGAGTTCTTTTTCTTCGACTTTGCAAAAACTCCAGTCCCTTCTAAGGTATGGCTCTGCAGGAGGAAACAAAGAATTTATTATCTTTCTGACCCAATCGGGATTGTCCAGGCCGGGGGTCTTTTGCCTCGTCGCTAATTTCTTAGTAACGATTTTAAAAGCCAGACCCCATGGGTCCTTATCGAATTCCTCGATTAGGTCCTTCCAGCTACGGCGTTGCGACTTGCGGATCTCTTTCTTGAGGTTCTTTTTCGCCTCCTTGAAAGCCTCTTTCAGCAAGGGATCTCCCTTAGATCGGGTATATGTCCTTCTTGCTTTGAGGCATTCCTTCCTCAAGGAGGCTAGCTTCACTGACCACCAGTGCAAGGATTTTCTTACGGGAATGGCGCCTTTGCGTGGCATTGACGCATTGCAAGCGGTGACTATCATGTTCCTCACCGCTCGCAACTCCCTATCCAGACTGCTCGACCTCTTCACCCAGCTCAAGTCCTCAATTAAAAGGGCTTCTCTTAGGGACCGGCCGAACTTTTCCTTGTCGAGTCTCTTCATATTCCACGAGGAGGTTTTGCGACTAGAAACATCCTGTCTTTTTCCTCCTCGTGTGTCTCCCATCGAGACTAAGAACTCAATGTACTGGTGGTCACTTGCGGTATATTCCTCAGAGACCCGCCAGTCGGTTATGCGGCTAAATAGTTTAGACGATGCGATTGTTAGGTCTATAATTGATCCGATCGCACCTCGTCTAAAAGTCCATCTATTACCTCGGTTTACAGCTAATAAGTCGTTTCTGGAGATCATTTCTCCAATACGAATTCCTCTCTTGTCGAGTCTCGTCTCACCCTACTCTGGCGACTTTGCTTTAAAATCGCCAGTGATGATGACTTCCAGCCTGGATTCTGTCAGGCTCGCTTCTAAGTCTTCAATATTGGCTTCGAAGTTTGTCAGTGGGTCGTTGGGTGAAAAGTAGCAGCTATACATACGTATATTAGCTACCTCTATCCACACGAACCCACTGCTCGTCTCCAGAAACTTGTCAACCCGCAATTCTGGGTTGCACAGCTTTATGGCGGCTCTCTTTGCCTTATCCTGATACCAAGGGGCGAGGTCGCTTCCTTGATACTGCTCACTGCAGAACAGGATATCGACCTCATTTTCCCTTGCTGTTTGCATTAGGAGCAACTGTGCATCCTTACTTGTATGCAGGTTGACCTGCAAAAATTTTAAGGATTTGCCCTTTTAATCTTTTGCAGTTCTTCCCTGTAAACCGGGCAGGCTCTCTTTTCGGACTCATGATCCGTTTCCGGCTTCCCCAGGTCCAAACAAGTAAGGCACTTCGGCTTAACGTTACAGCTCTTCGCGAGGTGTCCCTCTCCGCCGCATCTCCGACAGTTTTTACTTCTGTCGGGGCCTTTGCAGGATAGGGTTCTGTGTTCGTAACCTAGACACTTTTGGCACCTAGCTACTTCAACATGCTCGCGAATTGGAGCATTTATCCAGCCGATTTTGATTCGGCCAAGTTTAAGCAGAATGTCACTTTCTGTTTCTGCCAAGCGGATTAGAGCAACCTTAGTTCCTCTGTGGCGCGGCAATAATTTGCACTCCATAGTCAGGTCGGATTTGCCCAGCTTTTCTTTCAATGCTGAAGTCATCTCACTCTTTGTAGTGGCTTCATCCAGGTCTTTGATTTCTAGAGACCTCTTATTTACTAGAGGTATGACCTCAGCCATGCCATACAGGGCCGAAAACAGACTGTCCGCAAATTTTAAGGTCTCTCCACCCTTCTTCACTATCAGGAGAACCTCCTGTTTAAAAGTTCTCCTGATTTTCTGGATCACGGTACCTGTATCTTCAGGTTTAACCTTTGATTTTATCAGCGGCAAGATACCCTCATAAGATTTTGGGTCTCTTGCCGTAATTTTTACCGCTTCCGTGGTTGTAAGCTTCAAATGGTGTTTTGAGAGCTCTTTTTTCTCGCCTGGGGGCTTTTTTCTTGGAGCCCGTTCCCTTCTCTTTCTAACAACCTTAAAGCCGTCCTCATTGTCCGCTCCGTCTTTCAAGACGGTCTCGGCATACGTCTTACTAGGACTACTTGAGGACGCCTCTTTTGCTTCAACTAGCGACTCAGGATTAATCACATCCGGGCTTACTCCTTCCCTAGGGCGCTTACTAACCTTTTTCGTCTTATTTGTGCCTGCAGCCGCGCTATCCCGGCTTGCAATAACACTCTTCGTCCGCCGTGGAGTTTCCACAGTTGGATGTTGCGGCTCCTGTTCTTTGAACGGCTCGGGGATAAAACGTAAATTCTTACAAATTGTTAAGAACGCACTCTCCAATACCGCGACGCCATCCTGGATGTCACGACTGACGTTCTTTTGGCGCTTGAATGCCTGGTGCACGCTCTTAAAAATCCCGGGAATAGCCAGGAACTGATTTGCGACATTTGATTCGTAGCATGTCAGCTGGCTATCTATTTGGCTCCCTCCAAAATCCTTGGAGCCATCTGCACCGACTATCGGGGCTTGCACCCGATCAGAATTGGTGGTGGGATTACCCTCTTTCGAGGTACCCACTTGGAGTATTTCATTTAAAATTTTGTCCATTTCATTCATTTTTTTTATTTCTTTGTCCCGTGTCGAGGGACAATCGGGCCTTAACAGGGTGGAGGTCGATGTGTCTCTCCAAGATAGCAGGAACCCTACTGAAAATCCCTATGTAGGATCCTACATAAGATCTTACATAGAATACTAACTATAAATTTATAAAAAATCCTAGAATTGTTGTAAGAATCTACGTAGAAATCCATAAAAAAGCACATATGGATTTGGCACAGGAATTTTTTATAAGAATTGATATAGGAATGCGCATTTGTGTTACTGGATAAAAATATACGTTGATTCCAATATGATAACCTACATCTTTTCTGACATAATTTTGGTGTCTATTTCCTATGTCAATTTCCTTTGTCAATTTCCACCATACTTACCAATATAAAATCTTACAAAAATTCTTAGTTAAAATCTTACTTAATAATTATTAAAAATTTGCCTATATAGAATCGTAGAAAAATTCTTACATAAAATCTTACTTAATTATTAAAAATTTACCTACATGGAATCTTACCAGCATTCCTACATAAAATCTTACTTAATTATTTAAAAATTACCTACATGAAATCTTACCAAAATTCCTACATAAAATCTTACCTAATAATTATTAAAAATTTGTCTATATAGAATCGTAGAAAAATTCCTACATAAAATCTTACTTAATTATTAAAAATGTACCTATATAGAATCATACCAAACTTCCTACATAGAATCTTACTTACCCTATTAAAAATACCCACATGGGATCCTACATGGGATCTTACGTGGGTTCTTATACAAAAACCTGTATAAAATCCAAGATCCCACGTAAGAATCCACATGGGATCCCTTGTAAAAGCACATGTATATTTGGGACACGATTTGAAACAGGAATTCATGTGGGAATTTGAGTTTGTGTATATCCTTTTTTAAAAAAGACATGGAGTGGAAAGGTCGAATGTATCGAAAAGTATCGAAGTAAAGAATGGGCAATGATCCTTTTTTAAAAAAGACATGGAGTGGAAAGGTCGAATGTATCGAAAAGTATCGAAGTAAAGAATGGGCAATGAGAATGTAAAATCTTAATAGAAGGATGTTTTTAAAATTGTTTGTACATGTGAAGGTGGCGTTGCAGTCGTATGTTATTTAAAAAGAGCGCGAATATATAAATTTTATTTTTGTTAAGAGAAAGTACACATAATAAATCTTATTTTGCATTGTCAAAAAAAACGTCAACATTTCAAATATAAATAAGCAAATTATTAACTGAAAAAATTTGAATATTATTATTAATGAAATAATGGACTTGGACAATGGACATATAAAAACTAGCACCGTAGACGGCCGCTTGCGGCCGTTGGAGGAGCTAGTCTACATAAAAATCCACATGAATTTCTATGTGAGAATACATAAAGGATTCTATAAAGCATTTCATATGGGATTTCATATGGGTTTTCATGTTTCATATAAGATTTCACATAGGATTTCACAAAAGATTTATTATGTGATTACATTAGGGATCCATTGTGAGAATTTTCAAAGGATTAAAAATTAAATAATAAATTGTATTAGCATTTCAAATCATCAGGAAGAAAAAAAATTCGATAATTTCAAACACTTCTTCTGAGCTATAAACTCTCAGTTATATAGTGTTAAAAAATCATGTTAACAGGGGGAGAAGTCGCTCTCGCCACCTGGCGGTGAAAGTATATGAACTGTAGTATTCTGTATCATTAATAAAAAAAACTACATGAGATTCTATGTAAGATCCCATGTGGAAAATTATATGGAAAATAATTTACAATCTCACCTGGGATTTCATATAATTTTCATTTCTATGTAAAATCCTACGTAGGATCCCATGTAATTTCCTATGTTATTTCCAGCATATGAAACCATATGAGATCTTACGTAGGATTTTACATAGAAATGAGAATTATATAAAATCACAGGTGACATCGTATATTATTTCCCATATAATTTTCCACCTGGGATCTTACATAGGATCTCACGTGGTTTTTTTATTAATGATACAGAATACTACAGTTCATATACTTTCACCGCCAGATGGCGAGAGCGACTTCTCCCCCTGTTAACATGATTTTTTAACACTATATAACTGAGAGTTTATAGCTCAGAAGAAGTGTTTGAAATTATCGAATTTTTTTTCTTCCTGATGATTTGAAATGCTAATACAATTTATTATTTAATTTTTAATTAAATAATTTTTAATCCTTTGAAAATTCTCACAATGGATCCCTAATGTAATCACATAATAAATCTTTTGTGAAATCCTATGTGAAATCTTATATATGAAACATGAAAACCCATATGAAATCCCATATGAAATGCTTTATAGAATCCTTTATGTATTCTCACATAGAAATTCATGTGGATTTTTATGTAGATATACACAAACTCAAATTCCCACATGAATTCCTGTTTCAAATCGTGTCCCAAATATACATGTGCTTTTACATGGGATCCCATGTGGATTCTTACGTGGGATCTGGGATTTTATACAGGTTTTTGTATAAGAACCCACGTAAGATCCCATGTAGGATCCCATGTGGGTATTTTTAATAGGGTAAGTAAGATTCTATGTAGGAAGTTTGGTATGATTCTACATAGGTAATTTTTAATAATTAAGTAAGATTTTATGTAGGAATTTTTTTACGATTCTATATAGACAAATTTTTAATAATTATTAAGTAAGATTTTAACTAAGAATTTTTGTAAGATTTTATATTGGTAAGTATGGTAGAAATTGACATAGGAAATTGACACCAAAATTATGTCAGAAAAGATGTAGGTAATCATATTGGAATTAACGTAGATTTTTATCCAGTAACACGAATGCGCGTTCCTATATCAATTCTCATAAAAAATCCTGTGCCAAATCCATATGTGCTTTTTTATGGATTTCTACGTAGATTCTTACAATAATTCTAGGATTTTTTATAAATTTATAGTTAGTATTCCATGTAAGATCTTATGTAGGATCCTACATAAGGATTTTCAGTAGGGAAGTTTCCGCAGAGGGAGTGCATCCTGGTATCTCTTCACAGAGTTTACCCTCGTTATTATTAATTATAATTAGATGTAGTTTTTTAGTTTCGACTTGTGGCTGAAATATATATATGTAAG